GTTATTAGATTGTATTCATTAGATTCATATAAAGTATCCACTATTAATGATGATTAGATTATATTTTGTAATTGTGATTGGATTTAATTTTTAATACGGTGATTGTATTTTGAATCTATATTTCTTGAAGAAAAAAAAATTAGATTGTATTAATTAGGTTCACATAAAGTACCTCCTATTGATGATGATGATTAGATTGTATTTTGTAATTGAGTTTTTTAACTTACTCTATTTTTTGGAAAAAAATGATTGTGCTTTTTATCTATCAATTAACTTAATTTGTGATTGAGTTTTTAACTCACTACGTTTTTTTCCAAATAATAATAATAATAATAATAATTGCATATTTTAATTACCAATTGATTTCATTGCTTTGTTTGGGTTGTGATAATCTCTATATTTTTTGATGATTAGATTATATGTTGTCTTGCAAAAAATTGTAATTGGGTATTTAATTAATTGTGTTTTGAAAAAAAAAATGATTGTATTTTTTAACTATTAATTGACTTAATTTGTAATTGAATTTTTAGACACTCCGTTTCGATCACATGATGAGAAAAAAAAAATTGTGTGAATTATGACAATTTCTGTGTTTTTTAAAAACTTATTTAGTCAAGTAATTGATGGTTACCAATACAGATATTTGTGCATCGCACGAGTTCATATGTTGATGGAAGACCCACAGCAATTTATATTTTAGTTATACTTTGTTTTATTTATTCAGTGAATTTCGAACAAATATAATAAATTCTTATTTTTATTACTTTAATTATGCAATATCAACATTTTCTTTTAAAAATACATATATTTCATGCTAACAATTTAAAAATGTTTGACAAAATCATAAAAAGTTTTTTTTTTTTTTTTAATTCAATCATGTGCATAGCATAAGTGATATGCTAATTTGCTAATTATTTAAAATAGTCAAAAAAATTACTATCAAAAAATTAATTATTCTTCTTATTTATTTATATGTCTTTTGGTAAAAAAATCAAAAACACAACTCAAAAAATTGAATTTACTCGAATGCACAAAAAGCCTCCTGCTCACTTTAATGCACGACGTATGGGCGTACTCTACAAATGACCCACAAATTCCATCGAGTAAAAACCACTGAAAAAAAATTGAGGGTTGGTTTGGCAATGGCTCATTGAGCTTTTTTGGCTCAATGAGCCATAAAAGACAGAATAGGCTCATGAGTCACAGCAGGCAAAACATCCCATCCAACTCTATAATCATTACACTCTTTTCTCACAAAAAAATTAAAAAAGTCAAAAAGCCAAAAGTCCTTCCCAAACTAAGGGTTGGTTTGGGATGTCCTAAAAAAGTGCACTTTTTGACTTATTGGTGGGTTTGAGTTGGGTTTGATGTGATGTGTTAGAGAGGTGATGTGATTTAAATAAGATGATGTGACTTAAATAAGATAGTAACTTTTTGACTTTTTGACTTGTTTAGTACATGCCAAACTAGCCCTAAACTTTTGAGCCCAGACTCATATAGTCAAAAAAGTTAAAAAGCCAAAAAACTAACCCACTAACCAAACGGGGGCTGAATATCCTTGAGTCCTAACTCCTTGTTCCCAAAATAAAAGGAAATAAAAATGAAAAGGGTCCTAACTCCTCAATCCTCAAGCACTTTTGCAAAAATAAATAAATAAATAAAAAACCTCAAGCACCAAAATCATCATTAAACACAAATCTATTTACTCTCTCTCTCTCTCTCTCTCTCTCTCTATATATATATATATATAAATCAATCCGTATCACTTCCTAACGAATTTTGCTACAGACCTGGATCAAACTTTTGAAATATTTACCACCCACTCATATGGGATGGACTCTCACTATGAATTCCAAGCAATCATTTTTCAGTGAAGTTTAATGAAATTATTAAAAGATGAAGGATTGGAGATGAGTTTTTTTTTCCACCTAAATAGGTTAAAAAATATTTTTGGAATATATTACGTATTTTAAAAAAAAAAATTGAAAATTTTGATTCTTACTACTAAAATTTGATATAAATCAGTAAAGAAATTTGATAGAAAAAGATGAATGATTAGAGATGCTCTTGGTTGACGGAGGTGAGTGTAATTTTTTAAATTAGTGAGACTAGTTGTTTTTTATAAGGGTAAATTACATTAACCTTTCTCGAGGTTTGAAAAAATACAATAAGCCTTATAAATTTAATATAATTATACTAAATTTTCTTAAAGTTTTAATTTATATAACACTTGACTTTCTTAATATAATAAATTTGTTAGTCAGATAAATAATAATAATAAAAAAAGAGTAATTACATCCCAGTGGAATTTCAAAAAAGAATATATTTATGAAAAAATTATAATTTTAATTATTAATATTTATAAAATTTCTCACAAATTTGTAATTATTTTTTCAAAATTCTACTAATTTGATATTTTTCTTAGAAAAAGTGATGTTATATCTTTTACATTTTTTTAGAATGGGAAGAAAATTTTCATTGTAAAATTGATAAAAAAAATTGGATCAATATCGTACGACAATAGCAAAAGACCTTATAAAGAGATGACAAACTTCCGGAGGAGGAAGCAATGGCGGAGCCATAGCAGGACTAGGGGGCCGTGTGCCCCCTTAGTTTTGGATTTTTTTTTTCTTTTTTTGTATTGTTCACACACAATATGTAGTTTATTTAGTACTCTTGAAGCGCCATGTTAATATTCTGGGATTATTTAATAATTTCTATTTAAAACACATTTTTATAATCAATACTATCTCTCTAATATTTTTCTATAAAATAAAAATTAAAGAAATTTTATAATGATTTGTGCTATAAATGATTTGCTTCTATTTTCTAAAATTAAGAATTTTAATTTGTAATTTTTTGTGCTAAAATTGCATTCTTCTATTAATATTGTGTCCGAGTTATTCCACATTATTATAGAATTTTGATTAGTTGTTATTAATAATAAATAATTAAATTTTTATACTTAAATTTAGCTCATAAAATTATTAATATTTTATTGTTGACCACCAAAAAAAATTAAAATTATAAAGTGCCCCTTTCTCCTTTAATTTCTTGGCTCCGTCATTGAAAGGAAGAATCCTAACCTCTATAGAAGGGGAGAAAAAACCCTCATAAAGGAAGAATATAAACCCCACATAGAAATGATTATTACAACAAATAATAAAAATAAAAAATAAAAAAGCAAACCGAAACTCGCCAAACGCATCCAAAGTTCTATTACACTACAACATTCAACTTGAATCTAAAGACCCCACATTCGTTGGTTAATATGGAACATTGAGGTTGAGGTGGTCGCTTAGTGTAAAATGAATGTGTTAAACAATGTTAACCTTTGGATTGAGAAGATATGAAATTATATCTTAAAGTTTTGAGCGTGAGGGTGAAAGTTTGGACGTAAGCTAAACATGAGATTTAGAAGATTAAAAAGAGAGAAAGGCGATGCCAACATCGGTGACTAGAGATAGATCTGAAAGAGATGAGGCAGATCTGGTGAGAATGAATCTATGGAGGCGGGAATATGGCAAATCTGGTAGCGATGAGGTGGTGACGGCGTCGAAAAAGGTTGGATGGACAAGCTTCCAACATTGTTAAGCAAAAAGACAAAGAAAAAAAAAGAAAAAGAAAAAGGGGTTGAAGGAGGAGAGAGGAGACCGGCGGATGAAACCTTTCCTTACCCTTGGCCGCACACCTAGTGAAAAGCTTAGAGAGGGAGGCTTAGAAAGAGATGTTCTGAGTTTACATTAAAATGTATATTTTATTTTGTATATCTTGATATTTTTATATCATTTATATTAGTTTTGATCTCTTTAATTTTACTAAAAAAGAAATCACTATAATTACGTTAAAATTATAAAACTATATTTTTTCAAATCTAAGCAAGGCCAACTTAACTTATCTTTTTTTTAAAAATCCTCAATGGAGGTAATTGTAATTTACTATTTTTTTTAATGGGTTGGGTCTTTTTCATATTTACATCTCAACATGAGAGAATTTGAAAGGCCAGTGCACTCACATGGATCTCATTTTAATAATCTAAACCGTTCATTTTGTAAAGCGCTCAATGCATATCATTTATGAAAAAAATAGTTCGATCCAATAATCGTAACATTTTTATTTTATTACATTTTTTTCCCAAAAAAATAGACGATAAATATATTATTAAAATAGGCCATTCATTTTTTTAGACACAAACATGATAAACAAATAGTTATCAGATCGATCTAATTTTTTTCTAGATGATATATATTAACGCCTTGTTTGATTAGCAAGTTTAATAGTGTATGAAATAGTGTAAAATTAGTTATCCAATTAAATTAGTGAGATAATCATTTATTATGTATTTATTTTATTTTTTCTTTCCTACTTTAAATTATGATCCTCAATCCTTTTTAATATTAAAAATTTGTCAAATTCATCGAATTGAATGTTCGTTATACATGCAATCCAGGTAATAAAATTTACAATCAAATATAAAATTATGAATTCATGAGCTAACCATTTCAATTTTGTGCTATAATTCTACTAATTAAACCTATCTTAAAAATCTTAAAAAATAAAATTTACATATCATTAAGCCTCCGTTTGGGAAGTGGGTTGGCTTTTTGGCTTTTTTGGCTATTTTAGCCTGGGCTAAAAAGCTTGGTTTGGGAAGGCTTTTTGGCTTTTTGGCTTTTTTGACTTTTTTTGTGAGAGAAGAATGTAATGATTATAGGTTGGATGTGATGTTTTGTTTGTTATGGCTAAAATAGCCTATTTTATTTTTTGTGGCTAAAATAGCCAAAAAAGCCTGAAAAAATCCTTTCCAAATGGAGGCTAAATTAGAATTCATGATAGTCCCATAAACCTGTTAAATTCTAGAGATGTGAGAAGATCAACTTCTTCTTCTTTTTTATTTATTTATTTTTTTAATGCCATTAGTTTATTTAAAATAAAACAGAAACAGTTTTTGTTTTTTTGTTTTTTTTTTTGCTTTTTTTACTTTCTAAAATTAATACTTCCGTTATGGTCTGGTCTCTCTGTTTTGTCATCTAAAGCCCTCAATCCAATCTATTTGAGTGTGACCCAATCTCTTTCGTCTAGGTTTGGGTCAAAAATTTGCTGCTACGGTGTCTGCCTTTTGTCTTCTGCCGATAAAACCAGCTCTCTCTCTCTATTATTGCTTTCAGAATCTCTCTCCTCCATTGTTGCTAAAGCTTTGTGAACGCAGATTCTTTCAGGTGAGTTTTTTCTGTTTTTTGGGTTTTTCTTCAAATCAAGAGTTTCCCTTTTCATTTTTTTTCTCACTCTGAAAATCTACAGCTTTAAACCTGTGAGTGAGAGTGATGTGAATCTTACAATTCATGTTCATTTTCACTTCTTGCATTTTGTTTGTGGGATGCGCTCACTTGTCAGTTCTTTTCAATTACTGTTTGTGTGTTTGTTTGTTTGTTCGCTGAGACACAAAAAGAAAGAAAGTTGTTTCTTTATGTGTTATGGATGAATGAGGTGGAGTTTGTTGATTCATTTAAACCCAAATTGCAAAGTTGGAAATTTAAGCTGTTTGAGTTCTTACTTCACTTGTGTTTTCTCAGGAAGCAAACTGGGTCTTGTGGAAACTGTTACAAACCCTAGTTTTTAGGCATTTTATGAATTTCAGTAGGACACTGTTGAGGATTTTGTGTATGTAAACTATCTGCTGAGTTTAGGGTTTGCTGATATTAGCAATTGATATACATATAAAGCAATTCCAGAAAAGGTGTTAGCAAAATTTTCTGTTAGGCCTCAATCTATAGAGCCTTAATACAAATTTTACCAATCAAACAATGATCAGGCTATGTGTTGACTGTTCTTTTGCCTTGACAGTTTCAAGGACTTCCAAATTATCCAAGCGCGAAGAAAATAACAGAAAAAGAGAGAGAGAGAGAGAGAGAGAGAGAGAGAGAATAAGATGAAATAAAATGATTGAGTGAACAATCAAATTACAAGTAACATTAAACTACATCTACTCTCATCTAAGTTGCATCTACTCCTAGGATAGAAGAAATGATAGAAATCAATTCATGTTACTTGTTGGAGATCCTTCACAATGTAGTCATGAATGGCTATTTATAGACAAAGTATAGGAAAAAATTACCACCCAAGTCTTTGAGAAGCTAATAAGATTATGTATTTGACTTATTTGATATATATCAGCAAAAATAAAAGAAATAAAAATAAAAATCGAATTATAACGGTTAAAATAGAGAAAAAAGCATCATTCATCAAGATACTAAACTGTGTATAACATATGTACTGCCCACAACAAGAGGCTATGCAGCTATTAGACTACAGTTAACCCAAAATTGTGTTTGGAAACTTCCTGGGGATAAAAAAAAAAAGCCAACCTCAATTCTCCCACCTTGCAATTAGCACAAAAATCAACAACCCAACTTGCAAGGAGAGAGCTCGGGATAGGGTGATATGATGAAGGAATTGGGAGAATGAGTGTGGGTTAGTGGTGGTTGAGAAAGAGATTGTTTGATTGAGGTTAGCCCTAGGTTGTCAGTTTGAAAATGGGGAAGAAGAGAGAAGAGAACAATGGCAGGGTGGATGAGTTTGTCACCAGAGATGGATAGAGATGAGATTGCAAGTCCGATCCATTTTTTTAAATATAAGTTAAATGCCCTCACAGCCTAATTTCTATATTCATGAGATAACAATAGGAAAAGTGTCTATTGCAATCACCTCTTACCTCTAATTTTTATCAAATTTTGCCAAGTGGCTTCTAGTTTTTTGTCAATGCATAACTTCTATTTATCTATACCAATGTTGTTGGTTAGATCAACAGTGGTGTTGGTTTTGTATTGTAGAATTTGATTATCTTGCTCTAGGAAAATATAGAGAGAAAATTAAACTTTTTCTTGTTTAGTATAAACCATGCTTTTGTTAGATGGTGGAATAGAATATTGTGTGAAACCTTATGTTTGACATTATACTATTATACAAATGAATGAGTTCAACTATGATTTTCAATCCCATAGACTTTGGTTGGCTTATATAGTTGTACATGGGTTAAATGTTTGGGCAGACAGTGTTTTCAGTGAAATGAAGCATCAGATTGGTAAGTTGGGTGATATGCAACTATATGTTACATATAAATTTAAAAATATCAAATACTCTATGAAATTAAAAATGAGCATAATGGAATCATTAAAAAAAAAAAAAAAAAAAAAAACTCATCACAATTATGATGTTGTCTGAAAGGATAATACAAGTGCCATGGCACGGCTACTACAATATTAAGCAACAGTGGTTGTTTAACAAACACAATTTCTGATATTTGTGAAAGATGTTGGCAGGGAGTGAATAGGAAAGATGCCTCTTGGTGTCTCTGATAGGGAAAAAATGTTAAGCCAAAACCAGTGCCATCAGAATTCACTCACTGGTTGACTTTCTATCACAAGAGACAACTCGGAATCATATTGCGAGTGTTCATATGGCTTGGTTTGGATGAGTCATTTTGGAATTCACATTTCATTACATTGTATCATGAATTCATGTTGGTGCTGCTTTGGTCCGAATTCTACCTATCGAAGTCAATTGAGACATAGCTGGTAATTCAATTACTATTATATTGCATTAATTGTATTTGTGCAATTGTGCTTAATAGTTGATACATAAAAAGTTGTCTTGGTCATGTGTTACTGATTCTTGTGTGTTCAAATGGGAAGCACAGATAGCAAACGTTGTTGTTGTTATTTTATTTTATAGTTATAGCCTGTGTCATAAATTTATGGAACAAGGTTGGGTGTGAATCGTTTTATATGATGTCTTCCCCTCATCTCTGCCCCTGCCCTTATTAAGTTTTGCTTCAGGTTTTGCAATGCAATTTCCACCAACTAACATTTTGTTTTTCCTTTAGTTGGTGAAAATGCCTGAGATTCAGTTAGGTGCTTACACTCTAAGATCCCATGGAGCTCAAGTGGCAAGGATACATATGCATGATTGGCTAATCCTTCTGCTTCTTTTTGTGATGGAAGTCATTTTGAATCTTATAGAACCATTTCATCGTTTTGTGGGAGAGGATATGTTGACTGATCTAAAGTACCCACTGAAAGGCAATACTGTTCCCTTTTGGGCTGTTCCGGTATGTGTATTTGAAGGCTATGTTTGGATCTTGGAATTGTGGAGGAAAAAGGTTGAAAAGGGTAAAGATAAAAAAAAAAAGAAAATGAAGTAAAAAGAAGCTAATTCCTTTCTTTCTTTGGTTGGGTTAGCAAAATATGAAGAAAATGAGTTGGTATTTGTGGAAAAAAATCCATTTTTTGTTTGTTGTCCATAGAAAATTAAATATGTACAAGCAGTTTCATTTTCCTTTCTCTTGACAAATCCAAGATGCAAACATAGTGTAAGAGTCATTATGCATGGAAAACTTTGGTCTGTTAGATAGTGCACGATATATATCTCTATGACACACCAAAATAAAGTGTTCTTTTCTTCCTTTACTGTAACAGGTCATTTGTATATTGTTGCCTTTGGTAGTCATTCTTATCTACTACATCATTAGAAGGGATGTTTATGATTTCCATCATGCCATATTGGGTAGAGTTCTTCCTTCAAAGATTTTTGTTATGCTGCTCATAGCTATTTGTATCTTACTGTAATGCAATGATGTATGTTTGATTTTGTATGCATGTTCAGGCCTTCTGTTTTCTGTACTTATAACTGGAGTTATAACTGATGCAATCAAAGATGCTGTTGGCCGTCCTCGTCCAGACTTCTTCTGGCGTTGCTTCCCTGATGGCAAGGGGGTGAGACCTCATCAAATGCTTTAGTTTCTTATCATGTTCGGTTATGTCAGTTTTATATAATAAGGTTTTACCTTGTAGATTGGATAATAGTATGCTGTGTGGCATGTGGCATGTGTAGGTATTTGAAAATATCACCAGGAATGTTATGTGTACCGGAGAGAAAAGTGTCATCAAGGAAGGGCACAAAAGTTTCCCAAGCGGGCATACATCTTGTAAGCAGAAAAAATTACATTCAACAGATTAAATATTGTGTGTATAGCGTGCTGCTTATTTTGCAATACCCTTCTTTTATGAGCATGCTTCCTTTATATATATGTGTGTGTGTGTGTTTTCTTGATTATGTGTAAACCCTTTAGCTCAAATGATATGGGAACTTCAAAAAAATAGCCAAAAAGTCACTAAAAATGCTAAAAAGCCAAAGAACTATACCAAAAAGTCAAAACTTTCTTTCTTCTCTGCTTTTTGCACGTTTTTTCATAAAAATCCAAAACATCAAAAAGCCAAAAAGTTACTAGAATAGCTTATTCCCAAAACAATCTATAGTTACCTCAGAAGTTATCGTTCTCTTGAGCTTTCTCTATCAGTTAGTTGTTTTCCTTTCCTACATGGTTTGCTGACACATAGTTCAATGTAAATTAATTGAGAAAACTACAGTTGGAGTGGACATTTATTTATAATTTTAGGGGGATACATTCGAATCTAAGAATTTTGTTAGTTTAAGTAGGAATAAAACAAAATATATGGTGCTTAGTAAAAGAAATAAGAAACAAAAAAAATGGAATGATATTTGAGCAAAATTAGAATTAGGAATGAAGAGATATGGTGAAACTCGATGTCCAAGAGATAACTAAATGTGGGAATCTCATTCCAGATATGCCCTCATTGTTTTTTCTAATCACAAGGCACTTCTAACAGCTGATGATGGCCTCCACATCTAGGCCAGTAGTCATTATACTAGTGTGGATGAAAATGAATCTCTTGACTATTTTTCTCATCCTTGGAAAATATGATTCATCAAGCAGATTGACAATTTTTGACATCTTGGATTGGTTTTCCATAAGGAAAGGAGATTGAGGAGGATGTAGGTTGGATGAAATGAAAAAAAATGCTTCTCGCAGTACTATGTCATATGTATAATTTCTGCTAAATTGAAGGGAAAATTATAGGTTGGCTACAAGGTGAACTATGCTGTATGGTACATAATATTGGTATTAAAGAAACAACATTTTAAAAAAATTAGAGCAAATGAAATGAGGATGCTGAAATGGATGAGTGGTGTTATAATAATAGATATTTAAGAAATAAATGCATTTATGAGGAGGCAGTGATTGAAAATCATATGAAGGGAAGTCATTGCATTCATTTGAGATGGCTTGGTCATGTGCAACGTGACAATATGTGCCGGAAAGGAGTGATTTGATCCTGATCCAAGAGGGCTAAAAGGACGAGGATGGTTGAGGACAACTTTGGTTGAAGTGATGAGAAAGGACATGATTGCCTTGAGTTAATTGAGCATAAGGAATAGAGCCAACTGGAAAAATAAATCTATATAGCAAGCCCCCAGTCATTGTGTTACATACACTTTTGCTAACAAAATTAACACAAATAAAAATAGAAGAAATAGGGAAGAGAGACCCACTTTGAGAGGGGAGACCTCCAATTGGTTCACATTGAGGAGAACCAAACCTACTGCACTTCACAATTGAAGTCTTTTCAAGTAAACAGTCTCCTCTTCATTCATTGATGTTGTTTTTAAACAAGAGATAATTATCTATTCAACTACCGATGTTCTATATAATAGGATAATTATCTAATCCCATTACCCATGACTTCTCCCACTGATTAATTAAGAGATATGAAAAAAGTCAATTGTATGTTTGTACATTTTTTGTTTCAAAAAATGGGATCCAGGAGGTTTTTTAATTACTTGTATTTCGACCTTGAGGGCAAGGTTGAATCTGAGGGGGAAGGAAAGTTATGTACAATATTTTGATAAAAAAACATTATGTATCTCTTGTTAATTAAGTAGTGGGAGAAGTCATGGGTTATGGGATTTCATAATTATCCTATTGTATAGGACATGGGTAGTTGAGTAGGTAACTATCTCTTGTATAAAAACAACGTTAATGAATGGAGAGGAGACTGCTTATTTGAGAAGTCTTACATTGTGAAGTCAGGAGGTCTGGTTCTCCTTAATGTGAACTAATTGGAGGTCTGCCCCCTTGAAGTGGGTCTTTGTCCCCTATTTCTTCTGTTTTTATTTCTGTTAATTTTGTTAACAAAAGTATACGTAACACATTAGGATTGAGGCTTTTTTTGTTTCCTATGTAGCTAGCAACTCTTATAACAAGGTCCTTTGGACATAAGAATATGATTGGCTACCAGCAGAAAGATGAAAATCACATAGTTTGTTATTATACTAGCAAATTACCTGTGCCTATGGCACTCCCCAAGAATAAAAACAAATGTTTTCTATAAATTCTACATGTTGCCGAAATTCAATTCAAAATGAGTATTCGCTATCATAGATTTTACCACCAGTAGCTATTTTCTTTGGAATGGTTACCACCAGGAATTTTCTTTGACCCAGTAAAGACAATTAAGTGATGTTCTTTTTGTCAAAGTTAAAGTGGACAGATGCGAGACAATACAATTTTACAAAGAACAGAAGCTTTTTTAGCATGCTTAAACAAACACTTTACATAGTCAGTCGATTGGAATAATAAAAATTAAAATCAAAGTATAATTAACAAAAAATTAATAAATTCTAGATGATCAAGATTTAGTTCATGCATGCCCAAAAAAACAAAAAAAATAGTATGAATTTTTTTCTTCTTTACTTGCTCAATATTCCAAGAAATAACTTTGAAATAATTCTTCAAAAATCATACCACTTCACATGCTGCATTTTCCTTTCTTAAGCCAGAAGAGCTTGCCTTTTCCTTAAAAATATAAATATGGATAAATAAGTTAAAAAAATACTTATAACCACAACCTAGATAAACAAATTGATGTGATTGGTGGGCTTACCTCATGAACAAGGATGAGATTAAGCTCACGCTCATCACAATACCTACTTTTTTGTTTTCCTCGAATACGAATCCATGTACAAGAATAAAAAATAAAAATAAAAATAAAAATGAGAGATCATATTACGGTTCCATCCAACTGAACAAGAAAAAAAAAAAAAAAAACCCCCCCCAAAAAAAAAAAACATAAATGGTAATTTCAGTATATATACATGGCCAAAAATAGTAATGTTGTCCATGATTTCGAGGTAATTTGAAGCTTGGTGGTGGAGATAACAGTTTTGTTGGCCTAAGAAGTTACCATATTAGCTCTTAGTTTCCACTATAGCATGGCTGTACCCTCTTTGAAAATCGCAAGGTTCAATACAAAATAAATGCTATTATTGTACATGACAAATTTGACACAGACCCACTTATACCCTATATATATGGAGGTGTGTCGTATTATTGTGGGGGTATAATCTTATTATTCCCTATATTTGTCAGTTTTGTTCGTGTAAATGAAGCTTTGAGTTAAGAACAAATCTGAGCTCGTGCAAAGTCTATGGATTGGGTAGGATATTGTCGGATGGATTCAGGTTCAGCAAGAGGGGAAAAGACTATGGCTGCAAACCCATGGTGGAAATGTGCAGAGACTGAGGGTGTCTGATGAGGATGTTGACAGAGGGAGACAGGGGTGGTGGCAAGGTTCTGAAAAGCGGTTGCGGTTGTGGGATGTAAAGGTCATAGTGTAACGGTTGCGGTAACCGGAACCGTGAATTCTTTTATTTTTCGCACAATTTGAAAAAAACTTACCAATACGCATATTTTTTTTCCATGATCATATTTATTAGGTTAAAAATAAATATTGATCAATTTTTGTAAATTTTTAAATATGATTCAATATATTTCATATTTTTAAATAACTATAAACTGAGTTTTTTACATTTTATTTTAATAATTAATGACTTTATATTATACAAAAAATCAATCACTAACTATTATATATAAGATAAACAATGATAAAAATAAGAGAATAAATAAGAGCATATATATATATATATATATACATATTTTTACCAAGCTAAATAGATAATGACCACACTTATTATTATTATTATTTTCAAACAACATATAAATAGACACACACAAACAAAATGGTTTAGTGATAGCAGCTGAATAGAATAGCATAGGTCTTACAGTTTCAACAAATCAATAACATGTTCCTCATCTTCCCTTTTCTCTCTCTCTATCTCTTGCTCCTCCATTTTCTCTTTTTATCTTCCCTTTTCTCTCCATCCCTCTTGCCCCAGTTTTAGCTTTTTTTTGTGTGTGTTTTTGAAGAAACAATTTGGAACCGTTACGTAACGGTGCGTAACAGGCCATTACGGCTGTTACGGCACCGTTACGGCAGCCGCTATGATCGACACACCTGTGAATCTCATTCACACTGCAAAAGCGGCTGTAACGGGTGGCGGTAACCACCAAAACCGTTACGTAACAGCATTACGTAACGGTTGCGGCCGCTTTTTAAAACCTTGCTTATAGGAGATGGACACTTTTAAAAACAAAGCTGATATGTAATAAAGATATTTCACACACACACACACACACACACACACACGTATATATACATAACTTGCAATTCATTTTACTGTCATATTTATATTTTTCTGCCTCATGCATATAGTGTTGGTTGGATATACTGTATTTATTGATCAGTGGTGTTTACATAAGAATGGAAATAATCTGTTGACCTTAGTGGAATTTTGATTTGGTTCTCATCGAATATGAATCTTCCATTTGAGGACACTAAACTTTGTAAGAAGGTTTCTTTCTGTGTAATTATTCGCCATGTGCTTCAGAAGGCAGGGAACCCATAGTGCCGGATATGATTTTCTAGGTGCATCTTCTTCTTCTCTTCTTCTTCTTTTTTTTTTTTTTTTTTTTTTAAATTTAAAATTTAATTTAATTTTTTTTCTTTCTTCTTGTGTGCATGCATCTAGAATATTGAAATAATGGATGTCATTGTTGTCATAAATGTTTTTCTATCTATAGTTCTTTATGTTCTTCATAAAAAAACACATGCTTAATGGATTTTGTGTTATATATGTAGGGTCTTTTGCTGGCTTGGGTTTTCTCTCGTGGTACTTGTCAGGGAAAATCCGTGCATTTGATCGTAGGGGTCATATCGCAAAGCTTTGTGTCATTTTTCTGCCATTACTTATTGCAGCTCTAGTGGCAGTTTCTCGAGTAGATGACTATTGGCATCATTGGCAAGATGTATTTGCTGGAGGTCTTCTAGGTCTGTTACCTTCGTATTTTTATGTTGCTTACATTGTATGCTTATCATTATAATTTTTTTAATTGTGTTTTTTTAACTTTGTGCAGGATGGACAGTTGCTTCATTTTGTTACTTGCAATTCTTTCCATTCCCACATGATGTAGATGGTATTTTCTTATCATTCCATACTTCAAAGTTATTTGCTAAGAAGCATGGATACTTACTGCGGAAGAAGCGTGTTGTGTTTGACACCCGTGTCAGATACTGACACTTTTCAAACACTCATAAAAGTGTGTCCAACACTTCTTCAAAGCGTGTTAATTAAAAAAATTGAATTTATGATATCATACACTTTACCGACCTAAGAAGCACGGATACAGATGCAGACACGGATGTAGACGTGGACACGGGACACAACGATTTTGAAAATATGGGGACATATACACAATAGCGGCGCGACAATAAAATATGTTTTCATATATTTTTATTTGCTATCTAGATTAATATTACATCCACAAAACAAAACAATGAATATTAACAAAAACTAACTCTAATTCTATATTTTAAATAAAAAAAAATACTTTTAAATTAACGCTTACAGTTTATATATTTTTTTATGGATGATTTATTAAGTATTTAAATCTAAGAAAGAAAAAAAAACCAACATTTAACATCCAACATTTATCAAAAGCACAAAAGAAAATGGGGGAAAAGACAAGTTAACATGTCCCTAGTGTGTCCCTAAAGTGTTCCCAGCTAAGAAGCATGGACACGTGACATGACACGGATACGACACGGACACGTTGACACGTTAATTTTCAAAAAATAAAGGACACGACACGTAGGGGACACACATGAAATATATACTTTTATATATTTATTATATGTTATATATATTAATATATCATTCAAAGATAATAAAAAATGCAATATAACACTAATTCTTATAAATTTATATGGTTTTTATTTTATTATTGTATCTTAAGTTATTTTGTTTAAACTTATAATTAGTTTCACATGTGTTCAATCGATAGACACGTGTGTTTATGTGATTGACATGTGTGTCCTCCAAGTGTCCAAAGAGTGTCCGGGTCTTTAAAAAATTTAAAAATTAGGACACGTTTTGAAGAGTGTCGGACACGTGTCCTAAGAGTGTCCAAAGAGTGTCGGTGTTCGACACGGACACGATACGGTTACGTCACCTTCTTAAAAGTGTCCGCGCTTCTTAGGTTCCCAGTGTGTCCCTAGAAACAAATTAATTAAATAAGAGGACACGCCATATGGCGTCGTTGTATCCGTGTGTCCAACACGGATACGGCACTTATTTTGAAGTGTCGGTGCTTCATAGTTACCGACACTTTAGCAATACTTTTTAAACCCTCCGAACACATCCTATGTGATGAATCTTTCATAATAACAATGTTCTACTTTTTTCATAACACAACTTGTGCACTCTAAATTCTGTTTTGAAACATTTAGAAAATGTATACATGTGAATTATAATGGCCCCGTTTGATTGCACTTATAAGTCAACTTATTTAGCTTATTTGATTAAAAAAAAGTTGACGAATGGTGTTTAATAGCAATTTTAGATTATAGTTTATTTGACTTTTTCGTATTTTCTTAAGCTACAATTTTTAGCTTTTTTAGCTTATTTGAAAGCCTTAATTATGTGTAAACAAAATAGTTCCATCACTTTGCTTTATTATAACTTTTGAAGGCATCTTGGATATTTGTACAACAGGTCTACAACTTATTTTTAATCTTTTAAGCTAATAATCTAAAAAAATATCATTATAGAAGCAAACTTATAAGTGATACCAAATGGGCCAATTTTTTGTAATTGTTTCACATTCTTTAAAATATAATTATTATGTGAATGATTTCTTAATATTTAAATTATGAAATATATGGTTTTTCATGTAATTAGTGTTATATTATATCACATATTTTTCATTGTCTTTGAATAATTATTCAGGTATATGACATAATAAATTTGTAAAAATATAAAATTTTAACATATTCCAAACATGTTGTTTTCTGCATTTTTTGAAAATTGACATGTTGGCGTTTTTGTGTCGTGTTGTGTGTCCATGTCTATGCTATATGAGGCATGGACACCTCTTTGGAGGTCACGTATTGGGACACATGTCAAACATGCTAGGACGCTCGGGACACACTTGGGACATGTTGCGGACACGTTGGGGATACACTACATTCCATTTTAAAAAAAATATTTAACTTTTTAATTTTTTTACTGAAATAACATACTCAAGGTTGATGAATTTGATAAAATTAAATATTTGACATAAAGTGAATGTATAATATTAAAAGACATGACATATAATAGATATATAATATTATGTGTTTTGAACATGTCCTTAGTCTGTGTGTCGTGTCTTTTATTTTTTGAAAATTTGCGTGTCCATGTCTGTGCTTCTTAGCTACTTAGGTTATATACAGTCATGCAATCACTTGACAACTATAGGGTTGTAATACAACCTTTGTAAATTGACATCCAGATATGCGTTCAATAGAAATTCCATTCCCTTTTGAAATTAAGGGAAAAAGATATGCTTGCATTTTTTTTAATCTATCTGGTGTTTGAATCTACAGTTGAATTAGAATTTTGCTTGTAACTGTTCATTTACTAGTTATACATCTTTTGGCTTCCATTGTAGTTGAGATGTCCTATTTGTGTCCTCTAAATGAATGATTAAGAGTGTAATCTAATATTTGTTCACCTTTTTAATTAGATTTTGCATTATGTTATCCAAATTGTATATTGCAAGGTTGAAATAAGATCGACTTCAAGTTAATAAAAACCAGAACTCCTGCGAAGAGTTAATCTAATATTCGTTTGCCTTTTTAATTTTCCTTTCTCTGTTGTTCCCTGTTGATTTTACTTGATAGTTTATTTCATTCTAGATTTTGTTCCTTGAATTGTAAACTGGTTTTGTATTTTTACTTCCAATATTTATTGAAAATCTTCGTCGCTTACGTCCTCAGGTGCGTCACCTACTCTTCACAATTCTAGAGAAGGCGAGTTGCAAAACGTTTACCTAGCTTTGGTGGTTCTTAAAATTCCTCTTCATATTTATGTCTGTTTCTTGTTTTGAGGCTGGGGAGCTTTTGTTATCTTTGATTACATGAACTTGTTCTCTCTCTCTCTGGTGGACATTACTTGTGGAAACTTTCACACTGCTCTGATTTAGCCTGTAACTTGTTTTTTTTTTTTTTTTTTTTTTTTTTTTTTTTTTGGGGGGGGGGGGTTCATTACATTTTATCCCCCTCAAGGGTCACTGAATTTCATCTTACCCCCCTCAATTTTAAAACCAGACATTTAAACCCTAAACCCTATAAGCAATCGTACAAAGACACCCTTCTGAGGCCACTGCTAAATTTCTTTATGCTGTGTTTGAGTTTATTGTAAAGCATCTAATATTCTGCTGACCAAGGATTTGTTTTTGCTCTGCTTTTGGAGCTATAATTTTCTTTGGTGAGCGTTGCTTGCTCTGTGCAGCTGTTTGACACTTCTTATTCATCTTTTGTCTGATTTTCCATATTGTCTGCATAGCACTACCGTAGTAATCGTTGCTTAATGGTTTCGTGCTTTTTCAGCTAACTGCGATGCATGAATCAATTTCATATTGATCGTAGGTGTTTAAATTAAAGACAAATATACAAAAGAATGTGAGGAAATTATTTTTTATTTTTTTTATTTTTTATAACTGCTTGATGATGTGGCATAAAGCCAGCGCACCCTCATAGCTCATCCCTGGACAATGGAAACATCATGTGTTATTTATAACAATTCAAATCATAAAGTTCCAAGTGCATATATTTCAACCATTGTATTTCTAATCAGTTGCATGTGCATTGGTAGTCTGTAATTCACATCTCTCATTAGTTCCTTTCTTGATTTTGGATTCAGGTTGGGGTCCACATGCATATTTTCAAATGTTGGCAGATTCCCGAAATGGTGCTCAGCCCTCATCCAGCAACACCAACCATCTCGTCACTCGCCCAACAGAAATGGATAATGTATATTTCCAATCTCACCAAGGCATGGCAACATCAGAAGTTTATGTGAGGGACACAAGCCCAATCCTAGATGACATGGAAGGTGGGAGAAGACACTGACTCCATGCTTATGATTGTAGAGAAACAAGGATTTGATCCCCGGATGTGCATACTTCGTAAGGTCTGTTTTAAGTGTGCTCGTTTTTCTTAGCAGACCTGTACTTCGAACTTCTCACTCGGCCAGTTTGGATAGTTGTACATTTTAACGTAGATTTATTTGTGTAATAGAGAATTTTTGACTACGTATTTGACAGTGACATTCTGTTTCGTTTGTTGTTTATGGCCTTCTGGAGGAATTGACCTGGCTTTGATGTGAATCGTAATGTTCACAAAAAATGAGATCATTCATCCGAATGCTTTGTCGTAAATGACATATTCGGCTGTGGGTTGATTGGTTGCTTTTTTTTTGTCAATTGTGTATGGCCATTTAGTAAGTCTCTAAACTTTTAGTATAGTCAACTAATTAGGGGGAGGGGCCAACTAAGTCACAATTTGTGCTTTTCCATTGGCTTTTTGGTCAGACAGATGAGATGAATGCATCAGAATTTGGTCCAATAATTAATCTTTTATGGAGATAAAGATATGATTAATGAAATTGTTTGGTGAGAAGGATAAATTATTGTTTTGAAGGAATGTTGTTTCTATTTTTACACCAGCACCGCTACATGGTCAAAAAGTTTCTGATGGTGGCTGTGGCCTCGGCTAGCGTTTGTGGTAATATAGACAGATAGATAGATTATGTGGACAGTAGGTGACACATGGACAAATTGGTGGTGACATGTGAACAGGTAAGTGTATAATATACAAATAGACAGTAGGTTAAGGTAATATAATCTTTTTTAATTATTTTGTCCGTTTGATCCCCCAAAAAAATAGACAGTTATTACTCCAGAAATTTTAAAATTAAACTTATAACTCGAGTATTATGTATTTTTTAAATAAATTTTGAAGTTTTAAGCAGTCACCTTTCTTACCTTCCTTTATAGGGCCGGCCATGGTCACAAAGTTGTCGCCATCTCCCTTTTGGATTTATTGGTCTGGTTATGGGGGCAAATTTCCAATATCCATATTCAAACAGTGCGCAAAAATAAATTATTTTGACTTGGATTTACAATTCTTCCAAGAAGGCAAAAGAGCTACTTTGCCTGTTTCATGTGATAAGAACACTGAGAAATGTGAAGCTATAGGAAAAGTACTTTGTGGTTTTTTGGTATAGTTTAGGGAGCTGCTTATATTATTTCATTTTATTTTTAATTTTTGAAAATTTAAATATCCGTGTCAGAGTATTTAGTGTTGTTTCTACACAACAAAAAATAATATAAATAAACTGAAAGAACAGAGGCATGCACATTTATTTTTTGCATTTTAATTATCGAGCAACAACTGCACCAAACAGTCCTCTGTGATGTTTTGAAGGTTTTGACTGTCGGAGGCTTGTGTATTTCAGATGCAAGGAAAGCACAAGAGGATGCTACTGTGAGCATGGTCCATTCCTTTTTAGACTAACTTGGTGCTTGTTTGTTTTTTTATTTTTTTGTTTTGTTTTGTTTAAAACACCCTTTTTTTCATATATTGTTTTCCTTTTTTTTGTTGAAAACAGATATCGAATATTCAATAACAAAGTTCTGATACATTTTTTTTTTTTTTTTTTGATAAGTGAGCTGTTTCATTTTTATTTCTTTTCGAAAACAGTATTCCAAAACAATTCGCGAAACAAATTGTGTTTCCTAAAATATGAAAACATAAAATAAAAACGATGAGAGACAGATTTTTCACGGTTGAGGTAACTTCACAAGAAATCTATACCCCTATTGAAAATTGCACTTTTTTTTTGGTTGTTTTTTGAACAAGTCAGACTGTTTTTTGAACAGGACCTAATAAAGATTTTTTTATGTGTATACATATAAAGGATACAACTAAGTAGGGATATTTTTGAAATAATTGGTGATAAGTCAAATTCTAGAAGGATGAAGCATTGGCTCAATAATCAATCTTTTATGGAAATAAGGACATGATTAATGAAATTATTTGGTGAGAAGTATAAATTATTGTTTTGAAGAAATTTTGTTTCCATTTTTACACCAGCACCGCTAGATCATTGCCGATGTCGAAAAATGGCCAAAAAGTTGCCGACGGCGGGCTCGGTCTCAGCTAGCGGTTGTGATAATATGGACAGATAGACAAATTAGGTGGACAGTAGGTGACACATGGGCAAATTGGTGGTGATACGTGAACAGATAGGTGTATAATATACAAAAAGACAATAGGTTAGGGCAATATAATCTTTTTTTTAATTATTTTGTCGTTTTGACCCCCCCCAAAAAAAAGACTAAATTATTACTCCAGAAATTTTAAAATTAAACTTATAATTCGAGTATTCTGTATTTTTTAAATAAAATTTGAAGTTTTAAGCAGTGACCTTTCTTACCCCCCTTTATAGGGCCGGCCATGGTCACAAAGTTGTTGCCATCTCCCTTTTGGATTTATTGGTCTGGTTATGTGGCAAATTTCCAATATCCATATTCAAACAGAGTGTGCAAAAAAACAATTATTTTGACTTGGATTTACAATTCTCCATTTGTATTGTACGTGTTATTCTTTTTAAAAATTAAATATGAGTTTATATTCTTTTGATGTTATTAAAGTTGTTTCCATATGGATTGATTTCAAAGATTGCCCATTATCAAAGTTAAACTTTTATGCTATTTATCAAGTGAATAAAAATAAAAAAAAGGTAGTGATTCCATTCTGCTGCTCATAAATTGTTGTGAGGCCTGTGGGGGCTTGTCCTTAACTTCTGACTTTATTTTAATAATTTGAATCGTTTATATTATAGGGTTTGTCGAACAGATCATTCATGTAAAAAATTAAGTTAATCAGATATGTGCAACCCTATGATTGGGTTTGAAGTGTCTTAAAAACATTTTCAAAATTATGATAGCCATTTATTGTATTACAAAAAAAATATAGTCTTGTTATAGAGTTACAAATATCTGATCAATTTATTTTTTTATGTATACTATATTAAATGAATCTTATAATATGAACCGTTCAAATTATTAAAATATGCTTGTTATAAGCCTCCATGGCCCTCACTGCAGTTCTGCTATAATAAACCTCTCCACTTTTAGTCCTTGTCTTGTTAAGCCTGGCAATATTGACCCACGTTCTAAACAAAACCTTGCTTGTATTGCAAGAATATTGTCCTCCTATTTAAAGTTGTCAATAACCACTTATAATTTAATGAATATAAAGTCAACCATAAAAGTAATCATAAAAATATATATATAAATAAATGTGTAAGCGAATTTTTGACCACATTGCCAAGTAAGTATTCAGTTGGAGAACACTGGCAGAATAGATTAAGCACGAATGACCTGCAATAGAAAGAGAAGATTTCGGCGGTGGTTCGTCCACCCGGGGGCACTCCGACGATCAAGTCAGTAAAATATCTCTCAAAGATAACTAATAGTGCTTAACTCACTAGACAGAGCATAAAAAGCATACCTTAGACCTATGGGGTACCTCTCTTTTATAGCCAACACTTACCTAATCCCAATAGAAGCCTAGTTTCAATGGACTTAGGATTACTGCTAATCTTGAACTGCTAGTAGGATTAGGATAAACTCTCTAAGAGTCTTATTGTTACCCAAACTGAAGTTTTCTCCCATTCTAGGATTCTTGTCCCTTATTCGATTATCCCAGATTCTGGTATTTTCGCAGATAATCTCGGCCTAGTCGAGATCATCTCGATATCATAACCAGGACACATGACACCTTGACTGGCACTTCGGTGACACCTCAACCACGTGTTATCATTCAAAAATTATTTCCCCACAATAAATAAATAAATTATAGTTGGTACAACATTAGTGGAACAATCGTTTTAGTGACGGGTCCATTTATTTGAAGTGTATAATTAGAATTGTTTTGAATAGTTGGGTTGATTCCGTTATCAACAGACTTATTGTAATAAATAAAACCAAGTCAATTTATACATACATTAAATTTTACAATAGATAGGAAAGTAATAGGATAATGAAAGTTGCATGATACAGACTTAAGAATTGAACTCGAGTATTCGACCCAGTAAAAAATCTCATTAATCATTTGAAAAATAATATATAAATTCATATTTTAGATCTATTTTTTTTTATAAATTTAATGATGTGTAACCAAGTGATATGATTGATTGATAATTAGAGAAGATATGAGATAGAATGTTACCTTTAATATTTTAGAGCATTGCTGTTTAGGTCAAAAAATTTGACATACTTTTTAAACTCAATAATATGACACTCTATTAAAATATCTAAATCAATTCTCTATCATTTATTTTATAATCATTAATCAATCATCTTATTGACACCTTACTGGGTCTAAAATGTGGGTCTATAAAATAAATTTGTATATCATTTTCTTATCCTAATTGATTGACATATTACTGGGCTTGAAAATTAGATCTAATTTTTTGACACAATGTTTAAATAACACTTGACAATTGCTGACAAATTACACATGTATTCAATCACTTTGCTACTCAAGATCAAAAATTAAATTTGTTTTTCAAGCTTAATGTTGTGACAATTAATTAGCATATATCTAAGACAACACTTTGATTTTACTAAGTGGTGCTCTCAACTTGGTTATCATGTTATAATCACGAACAATTCAATATATATAAAAATATATATCAAAACCCCATCAATAAATTCCATTCCAACTTGCCATCATCTTCTATATAAAGTCTCCTCCTGTATCTTCCCATAACACCCAGATCTACCCTCTCTCTCTCTCTCTCTCTCTCTCTCTAACAAAAAATGGACACTGCTCCTGCAACAACATTTCAAAACCTCAAGAGGTACTTGAGGAGAAGGAGATACCAAAGACTTGACAACACAACTAATAACAAGAGAATGAAGATCACAAGGCTTGGAAGTGGAAGCAAAAATCGCCGCCGGGTATGGAAGATAAGACTGTCTCCAAAACTGAGATTTAAGGTTGCTTTGCTTTCGCCGATGAAGCTTCTGGCAAAGTTTCACGAAGCTTATGTTGGTATGATGGTGCGCATGGTGGGTGACAATGATATAGACCTGTTTGGAGGGAAAAGAATTCCCAAAGGTCGATCGCTTCCAATGATGGTCTCTTCTAGTGATGAAATTGTAGATGGAAAGTTAGTTTTGGAGATTTATAAAAGGTTGGTCTCTTCTCATGAACTATCATCCATGTTAGTGTGACAAGTTCTTTTTTTTTTGGGTATTCTAAGCTTGAGAAACAAAATATTACTTGTCATAAGACTTGAACTGGTGACCTAATGAAGAGATGTATGAATTCTGATCAACTACACTAGCGGGCACAACTTTCTCTTGCTCATTCTCTTTTCCTATAGTTGTTTCTTGAGACAAGTGTAAATTTTTTTTTTGTTTTTTTGTTACCCATTTTATTTTTCATATAGGTGTTTCTTGATACAAGTGTAAGTGTTTGAATTTGTATGATCTATGTTTTCTTTTTCTTTATTAGGTAGTGAAAATGATTCACTGTTCTTGTATTTTGTACTATGTTGAGTATTGTAAAGTCTTGGACATCCACAGTACTCAGGAAGTGAAATGATATCAAAGTTTTTTTTTACCCAAAAAGTAAGAAATACCATGCTTACATGTTTCAATTTACACAATTTTCTATAAATTAATTAGTTCAGAAAATAAAGTGTGTGAACAAATTCATTATAAGTGTAACTAATACAACCTAAGGGTGGGTGGCATTATGGTTAAGACTTGGGGTTTAAGCCCTAAGGTCATGAGTTCAATTCTTTCTTCTTGAGCCAATCTCCTGGGTGAAATATAGTTGGTTAGGAGGTTGGACCTCAAGTTGTCTAATCAGCACTTGGTGCGCGTTCAATGCTCTTGGGCCAATCTCCTGGGCGAAACACAGTTGGTTAGGAGGTTGGACCTCAAGTTATCTAATCAGCACTCGCACTTGGTGTGGGTTCAATGCTCCCCCGCTGTGCGAGTCTTGACTTAAGCGGAGCTTGTCTTGGGAGGTCGGGACAAGTTCTGAGGTCGGGACAAGTTCTCAGGTTGTAGTCTCTTCGCTCGGAACGGCTAACAGGACACTCTGGTGATCTCTGCAAAGGGTGTTGCCTTGGACCTGCGGGAAGGTAGGGAGGATTTTCCTGTAACAAAAAAAAAAGTGTAACTAATATCTTATTATATAAATCAATATAATACAATTTGTTTTCTAATCACTTCTTAGAATTATTTTTTCATGTTTTTAGTACTTAAAACGTATGGATCACCTTTTGTTTGATATGAAATGAACTAAAAAATTGTATCCTTATTTTGAGAATTAGTGTAATGTGAGATTCATGTGTTGAATGGATCTAGGCCACCTATTAATAATTCTAAGTAAATTTCCAGAAAAAAATTTCACATATATAATATTACTGTTAATAAACAATAGATGGAAAGACAACAGGACAGTGGTAATTTTTTTTTGCCTCTCCTCTCCAATTGATTGCAGAATGGCTAATTGATTTCTTTGTTACATAGTATTCACTTTAATGGTTAACATAACACATATTAACTATTAAAAATACAAGCAGAGTAATATGAGTGAAATAATCTTTATAATGACAGATTTGATGTGCATGAGCGGTTTTACACCATAGGGAGGGTATTCAATTGAACACTTCGATTTTTTTTAATTTTTTTTTAAGTATATATATAGAAAAAAATATTGCATATAATTTTATTTCATACTTTTTTTCTCTTAAATACAAAGCAAATGAAACTCATATTCACCAATACATATGAAAATTTTCACTTTAAACACCTCGTGCACTCCATTGAATATCCAATTGGCCTAGTCAACTTTGTTGAACACTCAACCCATAATACTTTACCTCTATATATATCTAAAATAATATTTCACTATTATTATAAGAAAAAAATCTGGGTAACTGGAGATCAATATATAAATGATTGATTGGTTACATATATTAAAAATAATGTATTTTAATAATATTGATTACAAAATTATTATATAATGATTTTAAAATATAAAATCTTGTCAGGAACTTTAAAACTTCCTGTATATATATTTTTTGTTAGAACAATAGTAACCATCATGGTTGATGTGTATGTTTATGATTCTTCGGCAGTGCTACGTAGCTCGAAATTCTTTGGCTCGACACTAAAACGACGTCGTTTTGGTGTCTTTTTTTTTTTTTTTTTTTTTTTGTTCAATCAGAAACGAAGAGGGGAGAAGAAGAAGAGGGGAGGAGAAGAAGAAGAAGAAGAAGGAGGGAAGGGAGAAGGAAGAAGGGGAAACTGGACAGGAGGGGGCCTCAACCAGTGGCGGAGGAGCGGCGGAGGCGGTGGTGCTGCGACGAGCTGTGATCGGCGAGGCGGTGGTGCTGCGACTGCGACGATCGGCGAGGAGGTGGTGCTGCGACGATCGGCGGCGGTGGTGCTGCCTCCTCCTCTTTCTCTTCTCCTCTTCTTCCTCTCTTCTCTCCCTCTTTCTCCTCTCCTCTTCCCTCTGTTTGTGCAGAGCTCCTTTGCTTGAAAAGGAAAAAAAAAATTGAGCCGTTTCGAGCCTCTCAGTTTCGAGCTCTGAGTCATTTTCCATGATTCTTTAGGTGATTTTCTAAATACGTAAACTTATTGTTTGGGATTAATTTAGCTCCCCATAAAAAATAAAAGGGTAAAAGACGGATCTAAGATTATATCTTTGGGGGCTACTCTATAGTTTAAAAAATTGGAAGGTTACTCTATATAATTTTGAAATTATCTACAAAAAATCTGAGGATACAAACTCTTATAATTTTAAATAATTTTAAAATTTTTAATATAATATATAATATTTTTCAAATTTTTGAGAATGCGGCCGCCCCCTAGGCCCCCTCTAGATCCATCATGTAAAATTTACCTCCTTATTGTTTATTTTGGGAGTACTTTACTCTCTTATCATTTAAAATAGTCAAAGAGACCTATTATAATTTTAACCATTTTGCATTTAACCTCCTAGCGTTATTTATTTCATCAAAATTGACAGAATTGATGCAACACGTAGTTGAAATGGAAAGCAAAACAGCCAAAGTCTAATCCAGTTGTAAAAGGTCAAATTTGCCCCCTTCATCTTCTTCTTATTTCAAAACCCTAACCTCAATACACTCACCAATAAATTTCTCTTGCTAGTAAAAAAAATAAAAAAATAAAAAAAAAGGGTTCAAAATCACAAATTGTTCTGGGGTGTATATATATGGTAATGGCAACCATTTATGATCAGAATAACCTCCCCTAATTCTTTAAAAAAACCTAACTTTAACATATTGAGATTTTAGATGCCCTCTGGGCCACAAAGTTTGCTCACTGCGTGGCCCACACGGCTCTCCAAATGCAAGCCTTCCAAGCCTGGGTCGAAGAAGTGCCTGAAGACATTCACAATCTTGTAGCCTTGGACATCCAGGATGCTGATTGATTTGTTTCTTTCCTTTATGAGGCCAATAAAAAATTAAAAAAAAAATTGAAATAAACTATTAATAGGTCATAATAGTGAGTTAAAGGTTGCTTATGTGGTTTTTGGTATAGCAACTCTGCTATGAGGTCCTGTAGAGAAATTTTTTGACTGTATTTTGATAATCTTAACCGTTCATATTGCAAGGCTTGTTAAATATATCATTATATAAACAATCAAGTTAATCAGACATCTGTAACTACATGATCAATTCCTAATTGTTTTATAAAAAATTATTAAAATCATATTATTCGTTTATTTTTTGAAAAACAAATGTGCACTTATTATAAGGCCACAAATGTCCAATTTACTTGATTTTTGTATGAATGATCTATTCGATGAACCTTACAATATGAACGGTTTGAATTATCTAAAAAGACTCGGGACACACCCTCAATAGGCCTCACAGTAGGAACCCCAACTCTCATAATAATTGGACTTAATTTTCATCAAATCTTATTGAAAATAAATCCTACTAAAATCGTCGCTAAAAATAATTTTTTGTGACGATTTTTTACATATGTTGCTAAAAATTAACTATTAGTGACTTTTTTCTATCACAATTTTTATAAATTGTCACTAAAACTTACAATTAGTGACTTTTTTTATGACGAATTTTTTAACCAGTCGCTGAAGGTTAAAAATTAATGATTTTTTTTGTGACGATTTTTTTAAATTGTAATTAAAATTTATAATTAGTGACATTTTTTGTGACAATTTTTAAATTATCATTGAAAATTAACAATTAATGACATTGTCACCGTCTCTTTCTTCGACCACCGTTAGGGCCGCCTTGGCCCAAGGCTAGTAAGATGGCCACCTTGGACCCCCCCAAATTTCGTTAAATTTTAAGCGCCTCTAAATAGTTTTAACTCCTATGACATTAATAGGTTTAAAAATGAAAACCCAAATTAACTAATTCAACTTTGCAATCGAAATTAAAGATCCTTAGAGCATCTCCAACTATTCATTAGTTTTTTCATCCATTTTGATTCTAAATTTGAATAAAAAAGTTGATTTGATATAAACTATTCCAACCATTTCACCAAAAAAATTTCAAAATCTTTCTAAAAATTATTCTCTTACCGCAAATTTTCATTTTCATCAAATTTGATGAAAATTTTTTCAATGCTTTATCTTTTTGAATATTCATCAAATTCAAATTTGATAAACAAAATGTTTCTCCATTGATTTAATAAACATTTGGTGAAAGGGTGAGTGTATTTGTGACGCCCAAAATTTAAGCACATCATAATAAGATTTAGAAACTTAAAATCAATATGGCCACAAAGATTACTAACATCCATTAATTAACAACTCAGAATTTAAAGTTCTTACACCACAACTTAGTCTCAGTACATAACCGAAATGACACAAATATAAAAAGAAAACTAGAAAAAAAAAACTAGAATTTTTAGAAAATGGTTCATGGAACTTGGGCACTCTTTAAGCTAACCAAGGCTGAGTGTCGCCTTGCAAGGCCTCGGTGTCTCTTTCGGTTTCTTTGGTACCTGGCATAAAACACCAGGGCAACGGGAATGCCAGTGAGCGACGAGCTCAAAAAGATACTACAACCCGAAAATGCTCATCCCGATAATAATACTCACAATTCATGAATAATGTGTAATAACAGAATAACCAGTAACATTTAGTAAGCATAAAATAAATGTTATCAGTTGAAATAATAACAATAAATAATAATAAATCAAATAAAAATATAACAAACGAAAACAGTATTTCATCAAAAGGAATATGTCCACATTTTTTTTTTTAAATTTTCATAGATTTAGTTTTTCAGATAAATTTAATAACTCCCCGTGGAGCACTATTTCCATTCAACTACTAAGCAATGGCCACGAGCAATTCTGACTCCCCCTTGGTCAAATATTTAAATGTTACTTACTGTAACTACCAATGATGCCCACATACCAGAGTTACGTACCCGAGTCGTGGCATCACGGTCTGTCCCAAGGGAACAGTCTATGTTGTGACACCCGCACCACCAAC